CCCCCCCCCCCCCCCCCCGCCATGTCTCGAAAGCCGTGAACTGAAGTGTGTGAAGTGCACGGAAGGCCTACCCGTGGTGGTGATTCGAGCAGGAGATGCCTTCTGCAGGTGAGGCCTGGAGGTGGGTAGGAGGTTTGGCTTAGCAGCCAAGCTTGCCCCACTTCTGTGGCTTTATCTCTTGTTTTGTAGCATTTACTTCTAACATCGCTTCCAGTGACTCTGGTGCATGTGTGGGGTATTGGGTTTCTGTGTGGGTACACCGTAATTCTCCCACGGTCCAGCTGTGGATCAGGTGGCGGGAGGGCATCTGATGGCACTTAGGAAGGTGGCAGAGTGAGGGTGAAGTGAGGTATAGGCAGGAGGAGCATTTCGGAGCAGCTGGAGCGCATCTGGGGCAGATTAGAGCATCCTGAGATCTTGGGCAGGTGCTCTGGGGATGATTTTTTATTTTTTTGGTTTTTTAAAGAACTTATTTATTTGGGGGGTGCACAAGCGGGGGAAGGGGCAGAGGGAGAGGAAGAGGCAGGGTCCCCGCTGAACAGGAAGCCTGATGCAGGACTTGATACTAAGACCCTGGGATCATGACCTGAGCTAAAGACAGACGCTTAACTGACTGAGCCACCGAGGCATCGCCCAGCTTATGTTTTTGTGTTTCTTTTTTTTAAGATTTATTTATTTATTTGAGAGAGTGAGAAAGAGAGCACATGAGAGGGGGGAGGGCCAGAGGGAGCCCGACGCGGGACTCGATCCCGGGACTCCGGGATCATGACCTGAGCCGAAGGCAGTTGCTTAACCACCTGAGCCACCCAGGCGCCCCCCAGCTTATGTTTTTAAAATAGTCTCCACGAGTCTTGGATTCTACTTTACAGAATTTTCCAAAAGAGAAACTGAAGGGACTAAGGTTTTTTCCCAAAGCTTTCTCCTCCCCAGCCATCTTTTGGGAACACAGTAAATTTGGTGTGTGCTACTGGAATAAACGTAGGCAAAGCACCCATTGCTTTAATCTCTCAGAGCATCTGAAGTGATGACAGTTCGGAGAAGAGGCTGCAGCAGCTCCTTCTGGGCTCAGAGCTCCCCCTGCCCGTGGGCAGCCACAGGTTCTTTTTGTGCCCTGTGCAAGCATCTGTGTTTTAGCAGCCTCACCCCTCCCCGATGGTGAGTTCTTGGGCCTCGCTGCCTGTGGCTGCTCACCTGGGGCCTTGGCATTTTATTAAACATCACGTTGACTTACGACAAAGGAATGTGGGGTGTTTGGTCAACCCCTCAGAGTGGTGCCTGTTCAGTGGGGGGCAGGGGGAATTGTGGACACTGCTGTGTCTTTTTTTTTTTTTTTTTTTAAGATTTACTGAGGGGCGCCTGGGCGGCTCAGTTGGTTAAGCGTCCGACTCTTGTTTTGACTCAGGTCATGATCTCAGGGTCCTGGGATAGAGTCCCACATTGGGCTTTGTGGTCCGCGTGCAGTCTGCTTGAGATTTTCTCTCTCTCTGCCTTGCCTCTTTCCTCACACACTCGTGTTCTCTTTGTCTTTCTAAAAAATAAGTAAAGGCTCTTAAAAAAAAAGACGTTTATTTTTAAGAGAGGTTTATTTATTTACTTCAGAGGAAAAGAGAGTGTGGGCAAGGGGATGGGGCACAGAGAACCTCAAGCAGACTCCACGCTAAGCCCAAAGCCTGAGTTGGGGCTCGATTTCATGAAATCATGATCTGAGCCGAAACCAAGAGTTGGAGGCTTAACCAACTGAGCCACCCAGGCGCCCCTGGTATGTCTTAGTAGGAAAAAGAAAGTAGACTTAGGGGTGCAGCCTCAGGTGTGGGGCAGCTCTCAGGGAGCCGCATTGCTGTCACCGACTCTGACTTCCCTGCCTGGGTTGCCAGGGAGCTTTTAAATGCACATGCCTCAGCCTCACTCTGGCACTTTATGTCCGATGTATCTGGCCTGAGTGATTCTAACCTGTAGCTGAGCCTGAGAATCAGGTGGAAGGATTTTCAGGAATGCTGATTCCCAGGGCCCGCCCTGGAAGTTTTGCTTCTGTGGGTTTGAAGAAGCAGCCAGGACTGTGCATTTGCATGAACTTCCCAGGCATTTCTTGTTGAGATGGTGTCAGCTCGGGAATGGCGTTCTGGGACACGGGGCACCCGCTGCTGCCTACTCACTGCTTCCCCCTTTGCCCCAAGAGATAGTACTTCTCCCCGTAGGAGTTTTGGAAGGGGCCTTCCACTCTGCTTGTGGGAGGGTCAGGCTGGCCTTGCCCTGCACTTCCCTGTGTCTGTCCATTCTGCCTGCTGGGCCTTCCTGAGTGTTTGGAGGTGCAGGTGGCACCTGGGCTCTGGGCCGCTCAGACATCAGTTCACACTAGTAAGGATTGTTGGGGACTAAGGGGGGCCTCCCTGTGCAGCACGGGGCTGGTCCTGGGGCAGACAGCTGGCAAGAACCTCTCAACCCTGGCTTCCCTTGTCAGTTTCTGGACAGAGCCTCTGTCAAGATGCTGCTTTTAAAGATGGACATTGGTAAGAGAAGGAAAATGGAACGCTACAGCATCTCAGGCCGCGTCCCCATTGGGGCCGTGTGGCCACAACTGCTGGTTGTCTGTTGCAGGGACTGTTTCAGGGCCTTCTACATCCACAAGTTCAGAGCCGTGCTTGGGAAGAATCGGTTGATCTTTCCGGGTGAGAAGGTAGTGTGTTGGGGTGACTCTTCTGCGGGATCCCCAGCTGGGAAGCCCAGGCCCCCCTGGGCCCTGGCTCTCAGCCCCTGCCTCCCCTCCCATTGTCATGCACGGGTGATGGTGGTGGTGGAGAGGGTGGGCTTGCTCATGGGGGAGATGCAGCGCTCTCCAGCGACGTTCTTTCTCCCATAGGTGCTCCTGGCATGGTCTGGGGGGCCTTCATCCAGCTCCATGGTCTGGCAGGTCCTTGAGGTATGTCTTCTAGCGTCTTCCAGAGTCCTGGCTGCTTCCCTGCTGAGTTGCAGGGTTGGGGGCCCAGGACTGAGGGGCTCTTGCCTGCAGCTGGCGAGAGCGGCCCACCACTAGCTGGGATGCCCGGAGGGTTGTCGGATGTGTAGACAGGGCTGCACAAACTGGAAGCTGAGTCTGGAGCACCCAGCTGTGCCCGAGTGTAGGACTGTTTGCCGACCACGTAGAATCCTCGTCATAGGGAACATGTGATGGCATGGTGGAGCGTTGCTTGAGGTGTTCCCGAGTTCATGGGCCTCCCCCTGGTCCTGGGTCCAGGACAAAACCGGGAAATACGAGTAGGTGCCTTGGGGAACCCAAAAGGGGTCCAGCCTGGCTGGGGTCGGGCAGCTTCCTTGAGAAATTTGAGACCCAAATGAGCAGTGGGGATGCCAGGGAATGTGAAGTTGGATGGGGAGGGAGAGCGTACGGGAGAGGGTGCTCGCTGGGGAGCTGTGCTCCAGGCTCTCGGCAGCCCGCTCACACTGTTGTCTGGCGTGTTGGAGACGGCTAGGGCTTTTCTAAGGGCCCTGGCTGCCATGGAGGCCTTGACCTGGGGCTGGGACATACACAGACCCTCTGCATTCCCAGTGAGGGGCACAGATGAGAGGGGTGGTCTCTCCGGGGGGCTCCGGCATGGTGCTGTTCTGCTCTCACTTCATGGCACCCTAAGCCTGGCCTCGTGTAAGTGCCTACTCCGTTGGCCTTTTGTCCGGCACCTGGAGGCCCCGTTTCCTCTAACTGATAACACCTTGATGGTAGTCTGTTGTCCTCTTGCACTCAGCAGTCAGAGGTGCTCAGGCAGGCTCCTCTCAGGACATTGCTGGCGGCGGGGGGGCGGGGGGGGGGGATTTGGGGGGGTCTGGGGGGGGTGGGAGACTGGTGAGGAGCAGGTGTTACTGGGGCGGTGAAGATGCCCAAACAGCCACTTTGACCATGTCGGGCTGTGTGGCCTCCCCATGGGGCCTGCTCGGCACTTTGAACGGTTTGTCTGTTCCAGGTGGGGAACATCACCCCTTCCTGGAGGACATCAGTTCAGATGGAGAGTGGTTTGTGCTGGGAAGGTGTCTTCTGGCTTCTGACCGTGGGGCTGAGGTCTTGTCCCCTTTCTCCCTAGGGCCTGAGTCGGGATTCTGCCAAAAGACTGCGTTTTGTGCCAGGGGTTGTATACGTCGATGGTACGTGTAGCCGTCCCAGCCCCAGCCGCTCAGGATGAGCCCCATTGAGACAGCTGCTGCTGTGCCCTTAGTGAGGCACTTAAACTTAATGAGTATTTGGAGGCAACACATGGGTCTAGCAACAGAGGCCCCATTGTTGTCTTAGACTTTTGTCAGAGTCAGGCAGGCCTGTCTGCCTAGTGTCCATGGATCAGGGGCCCTGGGTGGGAGAGGCCAGGGGCCAGATGCTCACCTGCCCCGCCCCTTGCTCCCTGAGATAGGCTCCCACGTGGGTCTGGGGTACTGGGGTCCGTCACGCCTCCCCCCGCCTCTCCCCTGTGCCGCTGGAGAGAAGCCACTCCCCACTCTGATACTGCTGCCCTCCCTGAGAACAGATTTGTGCCCTGTGGTTTCCACCAGAAGGCTTCGTAGAGTTGCTCACAGGACATGGCCTTATCCCATCTTGGGCTCTCCTGTAGTCATGATTCCTTTCTGCCTGCACTTAGAGGGAGCAGCTTGTGGCCAGAGCCGGGAGGACAGAGCAAAAACTCTGTCTGATGTGAAGCTGATCCTACAGACCCTCGGCTTCCCGTGGCACGTTGTCGCCTTGGAAGAGGTGGGTGGGCCTGACTCAGGGCGGGCCGCCGGGTGCCCACAAGGGCCTGTGGGGTCAGCTGTGGGCCTCGCCCTTGTCCTGTTTATTCCCGGCACATGGGGGTCGGGGGGCAGACCTGGGCCTTATGCTCTCTCCCTGCCCTGGAAGGTGTTTGCCCTGCCGCCGTCCGTGCTGCGCTGCTCTGCCCCGGAGCCGGTGGGGACTGTGGGGACCTACAAGGTGGCTGTGGACAGTTTCCTTCAGCAGCAGCATACGCTGGAGGCTGAGGGGGTTGGGGACAGCCCCAGCTCAGCCCAGGGGGAGGCGCAGCCGAGCCAGCCCTGCACCCAGGACCCCCAGGACCTGGCTGGGCCACCCCTGGCTGGGCCACCCCCGGCTGCCCAGACCGAGGCTCTGTCCCGACTGTTTGACTCCGTGAAGACGTTGACGGCCAAAGAGGAGCTTCTGCAGACCCTGCGGTGAGCCCCCATCCCCACCCTGGCGGCTAGGCCCTGCTTCTTCCGGTCCCCCTGAGACCCTGGGCTCTGCTCTACAGGACCCACCTGATCCTGCACATGGCCCGGACCCATGGCTACTCCAAGGTGATGACAGGAGACAGCTGTACCCGCTTGGCCATCAAACTCATGACCAGCCTGGCGCTGGGGAGAGGGGCCTTTCTCGCCTGGGACACGGTACGTGGGTACGGGCATTCCAGGGGCCCCTCTGGCCCATGTCACTTGAAAGTAGCGTCAGGAGTCTGTGCCAGGGTCTCCCTTGTGGTGCAGGGAAGGCGGAGCTGTGAGCCCGTGTGCTGGGTGCGGTGACGAACGTGCCCCCGCCGCAGGGCTTCTCCGACGAGCGGCATGGCGACGTGGTGGTGGTACGGCCCATGCGTGAGCACACGCTGAAGGAGGTTGCCTTCTACAACCGCCTGTTTGCCGTTCCCTCTGTCTTCACCCCAGCCATCGACACCAAGGTGAGTTGCGGGAGTATCCAGCGTGGGGTCAGAGGTGGCCAGCACACTCTCAGTGGCCTGAGCTGTGTCCACCCCAGCTCCCCGGGAGCACCCGCAGGGCACTCCCCTGCCGAGGAGAGGCAGGCTGGGACTCGGCCAAGGGGGGCTTGCGTGGAGGGTGTAGTAGCAGGTGTGTTCAGTGACAGGGACACAGATGCGGGTGCTCTGGCTCACTTCAGTCCTGACTTGGCACTCTCAGGGCTGATGGTGTGAAGCCCTGGCCCCCACGCTAGGTGGCCGCTGGGCCAGGCCTGGGGGTGCCACTTTTGCAGTCCTCCATCTGGTTATCCCTAGGCCCCCGAAAAGGCCAGCATCCACCGGCTGATGGAGGGCTTCCTGCTCCGACTGCAGGCCCAGTTCCCCTCCACAGTCAGCACCGTGTACAGGTGCGTGCGCGTCAGTGCCTACGGGGCGTGGGTGTGTGCGCGCTGAGCCTGCGCCTGGGCGCCTGTGCAGGAGTGAAGCCCAGCCTCACGCTGCCTTTGTGCCCCTCTCCCACCCTCTCAGGACCAGTGAGAAGCTGGTCAAGGCCCCCAGGGATGGCTGTGCCTCTGGCCCCCGTTGCCTGCTCTGTATGTGCTCGCTGGACGTCGACACTGCGGGTCCGTGAGGAGGGGGAGGGGCACCGCGGAGTGGGAGTTGGGGGTCTAGCCCCAGGGGGACCCTCAGCCCATCTCTGTCTGCAGATAGTGCCACAGCTTTCGGAGCTCAGACCCAGGATTTCTCCCAGATGCAGCCCCCCACCCCACTGGCTGAGGCTGGGGCCCCCACCGTGCCTTGCCGTTCTGCAGAGGTGGGCAGGGCCCCGAACTGCTGCCAGGGAACCAGGCCGTGCAGGAGGTGAGTCCCTTCCTGGCCCTGCCCTGACCCGTGGTCAGCCCCAGGCCACCGGCCAGGGTAGGTGCGGCACCCCAGGGCCCCGAGCCGCCAGCCAGGCTAGGTGAGGCACCCCGAGGCCCCGCACCGGTGCTCAGGCACAGCTCTGCTCCTCCAGGGAGGACTCCCGAGCCCATGTCATCGAGCAGCTGTGCTACGGCTGCCGCGTGAATATGAAGGACGTGGTGAGTCGTTCTCACTCCTGGGTCGTGACGGGGGAGGCCCACCCCCCCGGGGATTGGTGCCACGCAACCCCTTGTCCATGGCCATCCTCTATTGCAGCCCTCCTTGGACCCCCTGCCACCTTACATCTTGGCCGAGGCCCAGCTCCGCAGCCAAAGGTATGGGCTAGCCACACGGCTGGGGGAGTGCCGGAGGGGGTCCTTCTGGGTGGTGGCCCCCACGGGGCAGATTCCCAGTGTATGGCTTTCCCCAGGCCCTCGCCAGAGATCCAGGAGTATCTGCTGGAGAACAGTGACGATAAGGCGCACACCAGCGGGAGCGGAGCCTGGGGCCCCCCAGAGCAGGAGGGCAAGGATGGGCAGACAGCCTGTGATTGTATAAATAAAAACATTTTTAATTAGAAAACCCTACAGTACGCATGGGGAAGGGAAGGCTGGAGCCCCTGGCCCAGTGTGCCGGCTGCGCTGGGCCCTGTGCCGGGCCGAACAGGGGCCCCAGCTTCCTTCTGGCAGCAGCGTCAGGGCAGGGCGGCCGGGGCTGGGGTGTCTGCGCCCAGCAATGTGCTGGGCGGCTCCTTCATGCGTGGGTGCAGGAGCCCTGCTCCTACTCCTTCTCGCGGGTCCACTTGATCATAGTTTCGGGCGAGCGGTACAGGAAGATGAGCTTGGCATAAAGCTCCTCCTCAAGCTCCAGCTCCCGCGTCTCCCGCACCAGGAAGATGTCCTGACAGAGCTTGAGGATGCGGTCCACGCACGGCAGCTCCTCGAACATGATGGAGTGCGAGATCTCGCTGAAGAAGCCGCGCACGAACTTGCCAATGACCAGCACGATGGACACGTAGAGCCCCATGATCCTGCCAGGCAGGAGTGGGGTGAGGCAGGGGGTGCTGCTGGCGCTGCGCCCTGCCCACCCGCCTGCCCTCATGTGCAGCACACTCACCCGTAGCCAGCCAGGAAGCCCAGGCTGGGCGGGCTGACCTTGTCACTGAAGATGACCATGGGCAACAGGTTGCACTCGGCCTGGCAGTCCTGCAGCTCGATGACCCACCACTCGAGGAAGCCAGTGGCCCCTGCGGCCACGCGCTCCCTCCGCAGCTGGATGCGCACGCTGAGGTAGTCTTCCTCCTCGTCTGGGGCAGGGGCAGAGTGGGTCAGGGCCACCGCCCTCCCCCAGGGCTGAGGCCACCCCCCGCCATCCCCAACACACACACACACTCACTGGGCTGCAGCTGCTTCACAGGGTTGGCTTCAGGCCCGTTGGGGGCCCGGATGTACTTGGGGAAGAGGTTGCGGATGACCCTGCAGGGAGAAGGCCGGTGGGTCAGGCCCAGCCTGGCCCTCCAGCTGCCTCCCTGCACCGCCCCCACCGCCCCAACTCACACGGACTGGTCGGAGGTGCCTTCAAGCAGGCTGGCCAGCTGCCGCCGCTCACTGCTATTAGGGGCCAGGTCCAGGGTGTGCTTCTCGTTGGTGTACTCCACGGTGCCGCCCTTGGCCAGGTCCCTACATGCCAGGGCACAGTGTGACCCACTGCGGGCTGCACTCCCCCCAGGTCCCACCCCAGCACGTACCTCTGGAAGTTCCAGGTGAAGCGCAGGGTGATGTCAGCCGTGCCATTGTATAGCTCCCGCTTCATCTGGGCCCGGCTCGGCGGGCTGATGCGCCACAGCGCCCCGGAACTGCCCTCGATCTGCGCCGTGACGACGTCCTCGGGGCTGTACTGGCTGATGAACTGCATGGCCAGCTGGACCCCAGGCAGCCCTTGAGCGAGGGGCTCCCGGACACCCCTCCCACCCCCCCGCTGCTGTCGGGTGGGGCCCACTCACTGGGTTAGGGTCAAATTGTCTGGACAGCTCCTCATAGGCCTGCTGTGTGAACGGCACGATGGACGGCTGCTGGGCGCTCATGGTGAACAGGGGCTGCCGGGGTGGGGGCGGCGACTGTGATGGGGCAGGGAGGCCCCATGGTGCCGAACGCCGTGAGGGTGGGTGGGGTGCACCCTGCGCCCACAGGCCCCAGTTTCCGGCGGGCACAGACTGGTGGCTCACCTCGTAACCACCCAGCTTGAGGGTGACCGTGACGTCGATGGGCTGGTTGACGACGCCGACCACAGAGCGCACCAGGGACATGAAGAGCAGCGGGAACCAGATGATGGCCACGAGGAAGAGAATGATGAGGCCGCCCATGCCGTACTTGACGATCTTCTTCTTCTTCTGCCCCTTGGGCTGTGGGTATTTCTGGGGGGTGGGGCAGGGCTCAGGGGCTCAGCCCTGCCTGCCCCCTTGCCCCAGGGGGAAGGCGGGCACTGGCCCACACCCCGGAGCCTCACGCAGCCACAGCCTGGGGCCCACCCAGGGGCTCGTGAAGCCAGATTTTAAAGCATCACAGCTGACTGCAAAGCTCCAGCACTTGAGACGCAACGGCCCAGAACGCAACCTGCCACTCAGATGAGCACTGCCAGGATGATTCCACACAGGGAAGGACCATCTCTTCAACGATGCTGCTGGGACAAATGGCTGTCCACGTGCCAAAGCAGCAGGACCCCTAGCTAAGACCTCAATCTGGATTCAATGGAAAATTCTCAGATCTAACGTGGAAAGCACGAGCAATGAGAGAAAAAACACTGTATGTTAGAAAAAAGGAAAGTTTGTGCTTCAGAAGATGGGATGCTATCAAGAAAGTGAGGAGATGGGATGGCTCAGTGGCTCAGTGGGTTAAGCGTCTGACTCTTGGTCTTGGCTCAGGTCGTGAGGTCAGGCCCTGTGTTGGGCTCCACACTGAGAAGTCTGCTTGAGATTCTTTCCCTCAGCTACTCCCCCTGCTTGTGCTCTATGCTTCTCGAAAATCTTTTTTTTTTTTAAGATTTTATTTATTTGAGAGAGAGCATGAGAGGGGGGAGGGTCAGAGGGAGAAGCAGACTCCCCACTGAGCAGGGAGCCTGATGAGGGACTCGATTCCGCGACTCCAGGATCATGGTCTGAGCCGAAGGCAGTCGCTTAACCAACTGAGCCACCCAGGCACCCCTAAAATCTTAAAAAAAAAAGCGAAGAGACCACACAGAGAATGGGAGAAGCTATCTGCAAATCCTATGTGATAAGGGTGTAGTGTCCAGAATGCAAAAAGAATTCTTAAAAAGAAGAGAACAAGCAAGCCAAGGACAAAAGGGGCAAAGCAGATCGCCAACAAACACACAAAACGATCATCGCCATCATTCACCATCAGGGAAACACAAATCAAACCCCCCCGAGTCACGGGTGCTGGCGGGGATGGGGGAGGGGGCGGCCACAGTGGACAGCAGGGGCAGTCCCCACCAGGAGCTGCCCCCTGATGCAGCCACTGTGCTGTGGGTCATGCGCCTGAGAACAACACAAGCTTGTGTCCACAGCAGTGTGTGTTGCAATAAACAGGAGGAACCAGCCCACCGTCCAGGGCTATTTGTAACTGTTGGGTACATGTACGGCGGCACAATCACACGAAGGAATGCTCCTCAGCCATAAAACCCTCAATTCTGACACAGGCCACATGGACTAGCCTTGAAACTGCAGAATGAAAGAAGCCAGACGCAGGCCACGCGGCGTTTGACAGCATGAACACCAACTTCCAGAACAAGTCTGCAGAGTCGGCGGGGGGGGTTGCTTTCTGCAGAGCGTGAGCACATCTTAGATCTGCCTGGTGATGTGGCCAGCTCTGCAATGACTCTAGGAGTCTCTGAACTCTACCCATGCACTGGGGGCGGGCCTGTTTCCGTTCCCTCCCACTGCATACGCTCACACAGAAAACTCAGCTGACCTTCACTGCCCCAGCTCCCAGCTCTCGTGCCTGTGAGCCAAGCAGTCAAGCCTCCTGGGCCAGGCATGCACTCAGGCCCGCTCTGCCAGCTACCCGCCGACGGCCACATTCACGGCACTGTCCCCGCTCCCCGCCCCCCCCCCGCCAGCGGGACCGCCAGCACCACCTGGCTCTCTCGTGGCTCATCTGCCCCACTCCCCGCCTGAGCCAGGCACCTTCTCAGTCTCGCGGCTGCACTTGATGATGAAGATGTTGGCGTAGATGTCCTCTACGCACATCCAGCTGGACAGGGACAGTGTGGTGTCTGTCCACACCCAGTCCATTACGGCCCGAAGCTCCACCAGGAACGGCACAAGGCGGAACCTGCCCAAAGCGGGGAGCCCGTCAGGAGGGCCTGTGGGTGGCAGCCTGGTTCCTGCTGCCCCGGGCCAGCCCACACTCACCCCTGGAAGAGGAAGAGGTTCAGGTGGTTGTACTTCTTGGTGAGGAAGTTGCCAAGGATGCGGGTGGGGTATCCGCAGCGGATCTGGTAGGCGGACAGGGCGAAGTAGATGCACTTGACGAAGTACCACAGCTGGGCCACTGCGTTCTGGCTGAACATCCTGGGGGGATGTTCAGGAAAGCCGGCTCAGGGCACCCTGCCCGAGGCCAGAGCCCCAAGGTCCCTGAGGCCAGACACCCACCTCTCGGTGACGGCAGGCAGAATGAAGAACATCCAGAGGTGGATGGCCAGCACCAGGACGACCTGGAAGGCCAGCTTGCCCAGCACGGTCTTGCGGAGGTAGAGGGCACGGTCGATGACCATGGTGCTGAACTGGATGAGCAGCATGACCAGGAAGGCCTCTGGCACCTGGTCGTCTGACAGCGAGGACGTGATGTCTGTAGCTGCCGAGTGTTTCTGTGCCGGGAGAGCAGAAGTCAGGGGGCAGCTGGGGGCAGGCAGCGGGGTGGCCACTGGGCTCTGCGCTCACCCCAAAGGCCCAGAAGCCAAAAATGATGATGATGAAGTCGACCACGTCAGCCAGAAACATGAGCGCGTAGACGTCGGTGGCCGCACGGTACTTGGTGTGCAGGATATCGTGGAAGAAGCGCCGCAGGGGCTGGTACACGCTCTGGGCCCTGTGGGTGGGGGCAGGTGGGCAGGGGGCTCAGTGCCTGCCTCAGCTTTTCCCACCCACCCTCGCCCTGGAGCAGCCAGCCGTCACGCACATGGCCAGGCAGAAGCTCTGCAGTCGGAGCCCCACGGCTGTCACTCTTTCCCGGGGGCGACTCCACTTCTCTCTCCCAGAGGCTGCCGTCACACCTTCTGTGGGGAGCAGCCACTGCTGACCGGAGCCCCCAGAGAGCTGAGTGCAGCTCAGACTCCAACCAACCCGAGACCCCCTCCCACCAGGGGCTGGCATCACCCCATTTCACAGGCCAGCAGGCTGAGCATGGGGACCTCCCCAGGTCACGGGCAGTAGGCTGGCTGGGGCAGCGGGGAACCGGGTGGGCTGGATGGCTGTGCACAGACAGGGCCGTCCTACCAGTGGCTGCAGGTTCTACAGGCTCCGCGCTCTCCCTCCTTTTCTTCCTGAAGCGCAGGCTGATACGCTTCGTGTCTCGGGGCTTGAGCTCTACAGGAGGCTCTGCAGGCCCGTCCCCTGCTTCTGCCCGGATGTGGTCCTGGGTGAGGGCCCCAGCCACTGCTGGCTCTCCCTGGGGCCCCGTGACCGCCTCAGTCTGGGGTCCCAGCGGTGCCCGCTCCTCCTCAGCCCCCTTCTTCCCACTGCCCTGATCCTGCTCCTTGGAGAGCTGGCCCTCTTCGTGGTCCCAGAGGCCGTAGCACTGCAGAGGGAGGGAGGGAAGGAGGTGAGGAGCCTGGCGTGGCCGCACTGGGCAGCGCTCAGGCCAGGCAAGATGGCCAGGCCCACTCTGGGACCAACATCCAGCCTTGCCTCCTGCAGCCGGGCAGCCGGCGGGTGGGGCGTGTGCTGGGAGGTGCCCGCCTGCTGCCCGCCGGCCCAGGCCCCGTGGACTCACCAGCAGCTGCGAGCGGTGGAAGAAGAGGGCCATGAGCTGCACCAGATCGTACTTGATGTAGCTCTCCGTCTTCTCCAAGCCCAGGATGCGTGGCGGGAAATACGGCTTGTTCTCGTGGCGCCGCAGCACGGCATGCGTGTTCCAGGGGAAGAAGCCAAACTGGAACAGGTACTTGGTGACCACGGACACCTGTGGGGGAGGGGGCTCAGCATGGGGGGGGCCGGGCCCCGCCCCCTCCCACTCCAGCCGCGACCCACCTCGGTGAAGATGATGGCCGTCATCCAGAAGCGCTTGCTGGGCCTTGGGATGGACAGCATGGCCCACAGGAAGACAAGCACAGGCAGCACCAGGGAGGTGGCCGAGGCGGTGACCATGTGGTTGAGGATGATGATGAAGTAGCAGAGCAGTTCCGAGTGGGCCGCCACGCACTGGTATGCAGCCCGCAGCAGCCGCAGGGCCCGGCCCTGCCCGGCTTCGAACTGGGCGGCCTCCTCCAGCTCCTCGATGCGCTGCTGCCTGTGGGGAGCCACGCCCAGACCCCCTCTCAGCACCGGGCCTGGCTCCGAGGGGGCGCCGCCCCTCCCTGCACGCCTGCCCCCACCCCCCGACCTGGTCAGCAGCTCGCTGGCTGTGCGCGTCCGGGTAGCGGCGCCAACAGGAAGCTCCCGGGAGCTGTGCGGGGAAGCCCCAGGCTCGGGGGCCACCTCGCCGCCGCTGCCGCCCCGGGTGTGGTACCCCATGCCCCGCGGGCCACCGAGGTTCTCCGTCGCAGTGTTCAGCGGCTCCTCGGCCCTCAGCCCGCTGTGGGAAGTGAGGCTGGTTACCGAGGCAGCGTGCTCTCTGCTCTGCCCAGGCTCTGGGGCTGGAGGAGCCTCCCGGGCCCCGGTGGACAAGGGGCCAGGAGGCCACGCACCTCCTGGCCTGTGTACCCCCTGTGCGCCGCCAGCCCGCACCTACCTCGATGCTGTACTCGGTGCGTCTCGGGTTCCCAAGGGGCCTGGAGGTGCGGCCTCGGCCTCGCTGCTGTACGGCTGCTCCACCAAGCTGCGCTGCACCTCTTTGCCCTGCAGGGCAGGGAGGGCTCAGGGCAGCAGTTTCCCGGGATGTGGGCGGGGCGGCGGCGGGGTGGGGTGTGCACACTCACCCCACACAGCCCCTGCTTGTACAGGTAGCGCTCGGCACGCAGCACGTCACTCATGGCGCGGTGGTGCCGTGTGAAGGTGAGCAGCCAGTCCGTCAGTCCATCCACCAGCGCCTGCCCCAGCACCCACAGAAACTGCAGGGTGCTCAGCACGCGCTGCATCACGTGGCTGGGGCCTATGGGGCGGGCAGGAGACGAGACGCTGCAGAGGCTGCCCCAGGAGGCCCCCAGCCCCCCAGTCCCCGGGGTGCACGTACCAGCTGCCACTGCCTCATCCGGGCCGTCCGCTGGCTCTGCCCCCTGGCCTGGGCCGCCTCCTGGGCACGGGGTGCTGGTCAGCCCCTGCAGCCCCGCGCACCCACCCCCGCCCCGCATGCGGCCAGCGCACCTGTGGGCAGCTGCTCCGCCCCTTCCTGCCTCTCCTGGTCCTCCCGCTGCTGCCTCAGCACCGTCTGCGCGTTCGTCACCCACGCGTGGTAGGCCATCTGTGGACCGGGTCCTTGTGTCAGCGGCCCACCGCCCCGGACGGCACATCCCGTTCAGCCCACCTGCGAGCTCCCGAGGACGAGGCTGGGACCAGGCCGCCACTGGGGGGCCTTCAGCTGGCTCCCTGCTTCGGGGCAGGACAGGGGTCCCGTGGGACTGTGGCGGGAAGGCAGGGCAAGCAGCCCGCCGGCGTACACAGCTGTCACTCCCTGAGAACTCTGGGCCCAGAGACAGGCAGGAGGCTCCTGACCCGTCCTTTTTCCAGCAAACACGCGTGACCCTTCTCCAAGGACAGGCCACTGGTGGCCACTCAGGGCTGGACGGTTGGAGGGCTGACCTCAGGAGGCGGTGGACAGAGAGGCACATAGCTGCCCACGACCTGCGCCTCCGACAGCCTGCCTGCCCACCTGACGTGTGGGCTCTGGGGGTCTGAATGGATCTGGGCAGGCCGGCCAGAGCGTGCGTGTCCTCTGCACTCTGGGCTGTGCAGGCCCAGGCGCCCGTGGACAGGGGAAGGCACGGCACCCTCCCACCTCACCTGGAAGGCACTCTGTGCTGATGGCCTGGGGTCCTCGGGCACGGCCTCCTCCTCCTCCTCACTATCCGACTCAAACAGGAAGTAGTCCCCCGAGTGGATGACTGCGGGCAGGGCAGGGCTGAGGACCATCCTCCCCTGGGGCGGGGAGGGGGGGGGCGGGCTGGCCTCCACACCCCCACACCCACAAGCCTCTCAGCTTCATTTCTTCAGTTTGGGGCGGGCCCAGGACAGGCGTGTGGGTTCCCTCAGCATCCCGTGACCCACGGGCAGAGGCCCATGTGTCCCTCCCCACCCTCAGGGACAGCCCATGCAGGCTGGGGTCAGCGGGCTGGGGGACAGGCCAGAGCAGTGACACGAGACCAGACAGGACGAGAGGAACACAAGGGCTGGGGACCAGCGCTGAACACTCAGACTTCTGCATCTGAGAGTCCGGACGGCGGGAGGGGGGCACAGAGCCTGCCGTGGGGACCTGGTTCAGTCGAGGCTGGGGTGAGGCCTGAGGGGCACAGCCAGAGGGGCACACAGAGCAAGCTCCCTTGCCCAGAAGGCAGACAGCAGCTGAGAAAAGAGGCGCCCAGGCACAGCGGCCCCGACGGGGTGGCCGTGGCAGGCCAGGCTAGGGTGGTACCTGTGGCGTGGTCCAGCCAGGGCCGCCACCACTGTCTCCGTGGGGAGGAGCCCCCTGGACTGCCAGGCCCTGTGGAGGGGCGGGGCGGACGTGAGCCAGCAGGGAGAAGCACGGGGAGGGCGAGGGCAGCCCCCTGATGGAGACCACCTGTGTGTGGACAGGGGGCCTTGCTGTGCTGTGGGGAGCAGCGGACAACCCACAAGTGCACGCAGACAGTGGTGGGCTGGCCACGGAGCCTGCAGGGACACGGGGACCACATGGCACGGGACAAATGGGCGGGAAGGCCCGTGGACAGCACGTGGCACGGACATACCCGGACCCGGGAGCCCTTCCACCCCCTCTCTACTCACCTGGCTCCTGGGTGGGGTCTGGGGGGTCCTGGGAGTGACTGTGGCCCGCCCGGCCCTGCCTGTGCTTTTCCTGCTTGGCGCGGATACGCTCCATCCTGGGGAGTGGGGGGGTGGGGGGCGGCCCTGAGCACCGAGCTAAGGAGGAGAGCTGGTGAGGAGAGCCCGGGGTCCCCGCCCCGGGTGCCACCTACTGCCTTTTCAGTTGGGCCAGGGACTTCTCCTCGGCCTTGCGGTGGAGCTCGATGCTTTTGAGGTTGGCGGCGTTGTACAGCGCGAAGCCCCTGTTGGGGGTGGGGGGGTCACCCCGGGGATGCTGAGCTCCAGCTCCCCGGCTCTTGCACCTGTGGGCTCGGCCCCAGCTAATGCCCCCCTTGCCCTGTGCTAGGATCAGGAAGAGGAGACCCTCCTGCCGCCTCCAGGCTCACAGAGGCTGAAAACACGCAACTGAAGAGGCGTCAGTGGGCAGGGGCTGGGCTGGCTCGCAGCCCGAGGAGCACGACCAAGGGAGGCCGTCCCAGGCCACGCACCCTGCGGCCAGCGTGCAGGCACAAACGGGCAAGCCCCGGACCGCGGCACAGCTGGGGACAAGATGAGGCGCTCGGGCCCCGAGGAGGTCCCGAGTGACGTGCGGTGATGGAGCAGGGACACGTGGCCCTGGGGCACCCAAAGCTGGGGCTGACCTGGAGGCCTGCAGGGCGGTGGCCTGGAGCTCCGCACGCACGTGCAAAAAGTAGCGGCTGAGGAACACACGGCGCTGCAGCAGCAGGAACAGGAAGCAGACGCTGTCCCAGAGCACGCCAGCCTCCTCCACGGGCAGCAGGCAGTCCCGGTCCCTGCTCAGCATCTCCTTGGCTGTGGGACGGTCCGGCTCAGGACAGGGGGCCCCACAAGCAGTGCGCGTCCCTGGGCCCGGCCCATAGCGTGCCCCCTGCCTACTCACGGTCGTAGTAGCCTTTGACGGTGCACACGAGGCTGAACAGCTGGATGACCCAGCAGAAGCTGCTCTGCATCTGTTCCACGAATACGCAGGACAGGAGCTGGGGCAGGAAGAAGGTCAGCCTGGGTCCCGCGGGGCGGGTGGGGGCGGGGCCGGGGGGCGGGCGGGGGGCGGGCTCACCGAGAGCATGTTCTTAGAGATGATGACGGTGACGTTGTACAGGATGAGGCAGTCCCACAGCACGAGGCGGGTGCGCGTGTGCTTCTGCAACAGGCTGGTGCCGAAGAGCAGCAGGTAGAAGCAGGCCAGCAGGTAGCCCAGCCCGAAGATGCTGATGCGCGTGGCCCCCGTAACAAACACCACCACCAGCACCAGCCAGAAGAGGTAGCGGAAGACGGCCACCTTCAGCATGTCGAGGTAGGACCTGTCAGACAGGCCGTCACTGCAGGGACCGGGCGGCCCCCACCCCCTCGTGGCAGCCCTGGACCAGGGACGCCCGTGGAACGTGCCCCTGTGGCCAGGTCAGCATCCGCCCCTCGTTCTGGGTGCAGGGGTGCTGCCAGCAGCACCCGTCCCGGGCTTGTCTGTCAGGCCTGCAGACCAGCCGCTTCTGCAGCGCCCAGGACCCACCTGCAGTAGATGAAGTTGGGCACGGCACTGGGCTCGCCCAGCTGCAGCTCCAGGTGGTCAGTGTTGATGCCGGCCATGAGCTGCCACTCCTCCGTGCGCTCGGCGGAGAACACCTGCCACTGCTGGGAGGCACACAGCAGCAACAGGAAATCACCTGCAGACACACGGGAGATGGCTGGCCACGCGGGTGCAGCGCTCGGCAGCACGGGGCCGGAGGGGAGCACCGCTCTGTGTCTGCGGGGGCCCGCCGTGGCAACCACGGATGTCCACACGTGAGCATGGACAACAGGGGACGTGTCTCTCCGTGCCACGGAGGCACCCCCACCCCAACTGCTGCACGCACACCCCATCCACCCCGACAGCCGTACGCACACCCCGTCCACCCTCACAGCCGCACGCACACCCCATCCACCCCCACAGCCGCACGCACACCTGTGTCCACACAATGGGCCCTGCTGGTGTCTACCCATGTGCGCACACCTGCGAACAGATGCAGATGTGTGTGGCTGGGCGTACACATGGGAGGTGGGCCTCTGTTTCAGGAAACATGCCCAGAGAACTGGACACCATCATGGGGCAAGGCCCCTCTGGAGCCCCACAGGGCTGGCTGGCCAGGGAGGCCTAGACACCGTGCCCCTTGCTGGCAGAGGCAGGCCTCTGCTCAAGGGCTGTCCATCCCCACGCAAAACCTCCGTGCCCTGCCATGAGGCTGGCAGGCGCTGCGTGGGGGGGCCGGGCCACAGGCACTCACTGATGAGATTGGTGGAGTTGGGGGTTCTGAAGAAGTCGGGCAGGTACAACCACTTGATGAGCGCTGAGTTCATGGGGATGGCCTGGCTCCAGCGCCACGGGTAGTCTGTGGGTGCAGGGTGTGCGTTAGGACCCCACCTGCAGGCCCACAGCCTCCGGGTTCACAGGCCTCATTCTTGCACCAACTTGTGCATTCACACGGTCTCAAAAACACCCCATCTCTTGTTCAGAGCACACAGGCCAGAGATTCTAGTGCATTCTTCAGGCATCAACTGGCCCAGGCCCCAGGCAAGGACCTAAGAGCCAGTCCGGGGAGTCACAGGCGGGCAGGCCTGCTTGGGGGGTGGTCACGGCATTGAGGGCCCCAAATGAGGCTTTGTCATGCACCTACCAGCCAAGACAAAACACAGGGACACCACAAACACCAGTGAGAATGCAGAAAAACCAGGTCCCACGTCCATCCCTGGCAGGAACGTCAATGACCAGCTCTGCACACAAGTCCCCGAGAAGCGAGAACTATGCCCACACAGAAGCCTGTGGCTGGACACCCCCGACAACGTCCCTGCAGAGAGCCCCCTGCCGGCAACAACCTGCATCTGCCATGGGCCAGAGATGACAGAGCTACGTCCGTCCAGCACAGACAGTCCTCAGCAGGGGAGAGCACCAGATACCAACGCCCATGGCCGCCCAGATGCACCCCGACTACATTCGCTGAGTGAAACAAGCCAGCCCCGAGGCACCCTGGGGCACGATTCTAGCTCTATGACACCGGGAACGGACATCTGTGGTTGCCCAAGAGGGGGGTGGGCAGGCTGCAAATAGCCCACACGGCCCCAAGTTCGGAGTGCTGGGGAGGCCTTAGGGAACTGCCATGTATTTGTCAGAACCCAGAGAATGAACTTGATCACTCCAGAAAGTTAATTAACCACTTAATTAACTCCAGAAAGTACATGGATGCTGGGGACCCAGGATGGGGCACAGACTGTGGGTCCACCCGGAAGACCATTGTGTGGCAGACCCCTTGGGAATGGGGAAGAGCAGAGCCCACCCACGCTGCTTTGGAAAACAGTGTTTTGCCTGAAGGAAGGCACCGAAAGCAGCAAGCACACCCCGGGCCCAGATCTCGTTTCTCCATTTCAGCCTGCGGGGACAGGAAGGGGCGCTCCACGGGGCGGGGAGGACTCCCCAGCTGGGCAGAGGGCGCAGGCTGAGGCAGGGGCGTGTACAGGCGCAGCGCAGGCGTGCTTGGAAGGCGGCGGGCCCACGACAGGGCCCAGGGGCTCCTGGGGCCAACACAGCAACCGTGTGAACAACAAAGTAGCAGCACCCCATGTCCACACAGACAGGAAAGAGCAAGCGGACACATCAGCGGGGGACGGAGGACCAGTAACTGTAGAACCAGCAGAAAGTCACCACCAGAAAACCCAGCGAATGACCCCCGCAGACAGGACCCTCCGATGGGAGGCTGGAAGCAGCCCGAGAGGTCCAGGAGGAACAGTACGTTCGCAGAGCCTCAGGGGAGACCCACAGTCGGCACTGCCCCCGAAGGACAGGGAGCGGCCCCCGAGCGGAGACACGCCAGCCCCGTGGAGCAGGACGCTTCCCGGCTGCGGCGTTCCCGCCAGAAGGGTGACTTCACCTGGTCTAACAGGTACCAGACTATCCCCAACTGGGGGACACAGCCCAGGCTCCTCAAAAGCTCCAAGGTCCTAAAAGGCAAACTGCAGAGCTGAGCCAGCACTGAGGAGACAGCATGACGGGAGGCGGCGCGGGGCCCGCCCCGCGGTCCACACCCCGGCTAACTCGGGGGGGCTGGGCAAAGGGCATCTGGGTAGGTCCTACTTCAGCAATTCTGCGTAACAAGGTCCAAAACAGCCCCCGAAACAGGAGTGAAGGACAGAAGCAAGAACAGGGAGAGTCTCGAAAGTGTCTGAAGAGCTGGCCTCCAGGTGATGTGCTGTGGGGTCAGTTTCTGAGACACTCGGAAACGGTCCGGCCAGTGGCTGCCACACGGGGCAGGCATCTGGGGTGCAAACGCTCCCATGTGACTCGCCAACGGCCTCACGCGCCCACAGGCCCACAGGGAAGCCTCGAGGAGCCGCTGATGCAGCGCGGCCGCGGCGGTGGAAGGCCCTGGGGGGCCGCCATTCTGACAAGCAGCAGAGCGCGGAGAAAGCCGGGCACTTCTCCACAGACCCGCCAACTGACAAGTGCACCAGAAATAGCCGAGAACGCTGGCCCCACGAATCCCGCCCGCGGCCCGCTCAGCAGTCCCTGCTCGCGGACGCCGCAGGAAGCAGCAGTCCCTCCGCTGGGGGGCTGGGGACACTGGAGGGCAGAAAAACGACCGCACCCCCTAGGTGCCGGCCGTGCCAAGGACGCTGCACCGCGGCAAACCCACTGGCCCGCCCCAGAGACCACCCGGAGAGAGCCAGGAGCAGAGCGCCGCCAAGGGCACCCCCAGGGGACGAGGCCAGACCTAGGGGTCGTGCAGGACAGACAGCCACGTGCGGCCCCCCCGCCCGGGCGCCCGCCCTCGGGACACAGGGCTCAGAGACTGTGGTGTGGCCCCCCGGGGATGCGGCAGCCACCGCCCGCTCACCGATGCACAGGGCGGGGGGGATGCCCAGACACAGCAGATACTGGTAGAGCAGGAAGAGCGCCAAGAAGAGACAGTAGTTGGGCCAGAGGCGAGCGATGGCTGCGCGGCGCCGGCGGGTGAGGATGAGCACCAGCCAGCAGCCGTGCAGGATGACCATGAAGTTCATGCGCTGCCCAATCACGTTCACGGCCATCAGGAAGCAGATCTGGGGGTGGCAGAAGACGGGGCGCAGAGTGAGCTGCCGGTGGGGCGGACCTTCTGGGCAGACTGGGAGGTCAGGCAGGCTCCGAGCAGTGGGGGCAGCAGCCCAGCTCACCAAGGCCCACACTGCCCTCGTGGAAGCGTGGAGAGGCCGGACGTGCCTCTGCCACGAGAGCGGCAGGGGGAGTCGTGACTCAGGGGCTTCCAAGCACAGTGGACCTGCAACCCGGTCTCTGGCCAGGGTCCCTGACCCCCTGGTCCTTACTCTGCGAGGGCAGGCCAACAGCCTGGGAGGTCCGGCCCCTCGGAGGTCCTTCCCCTGTGCGCCCCCCACCCCCAGGTGGCCCTCGAGGGCCTGCACACTGCTGATGTCCAGCAAAGGCCACACAGAGGGTGACAAGGGCCCCCCTGTCCTGCCCAGGGAAGGGGTGAGGGTTGACGCTGGGCCTCACCTCTAGCCCAAATTTGTAGAAAAAGAAGTTGACAAAGTACTTGAGGCAGCTGAGCAGGTCCTGGTCCAGCCGCTGGCGGGTGCCGTCGGCACATACGGCCTGGGCGGGCAGCGGGCCCAGCTGGTGTTGCCGGCGGTGGTGTTCCTGGCGCCGGTACATGATGGCCTCGAACACCAGCAGCAGCAGGACCTGCAGGTGGTTCTGGGGAGGGGGGCACAGTCATGCTCCACCCACCTCCCCTGCCCAGCCCCACGACCCTGCGGCCCCTCGCTCACCTGGATGTAGCCTAGGTTTGGGAAGCCCTTCCGCACCCCAAACCAGTTGGCAGGGTCGACGGGCCCCCGGTACAGCAAGGACTGCTTGATCTCCGCCTTCTGCAGGTTGGTGCTGTTGAGGAGGGGCTGGGGGAACGGAGAATCAGCACCTGCTCCCCTTGCCCCCTGGGAGCTAGACTGTGACCCCAGGACGGCCCACCCTACCCGGCCCCCCCTACATCAGTCACAGCTCCGGACAGGTCCAGGTCAGACCCCAGCGACCCCCCACCAGGGATGCATGTGGACTGTCAGCCTCTGACCGACCCTCACAGGGAAAGGGGCAGCGTGTCTGGGGACGAAGCGGCCACAGGCTGGGGGAGGGCAACAGAGAGGGGAGGGGTCCCCCGCCTCTGTCCCCACCACCGTGAGCTGAAGAGCTGTCGGCGTGGACCCCTAAGGTCCGGGAGGCTGGGCGAGGCTCCTGCCTGGCCGTACCTCGGTGCAGTTGCTGGAGTATTCGTGGGGGCTGACGACCTTGAGCTGGTAGAGCATCTTGCACACGATGATGATGCAGGTCCACACGGTGGACAGGCAGGAGGCCATGGGCCGGAAGCGGGGGTAGGGCAGGGCGAAGGCCCAGAGCACCACCAGCAGCAGATTCATCACCGACACCTGAGAGGTGGTGGGCGGGCTGGGGCAGGCGCAGCAGCACCTCCTGGGGGCCCCGCGACCTGCTGCCCTGGGGCGCCCCCCTCCAGGAAGGCCGGCAACGGCGCTCCACGTGGCCCGTCTTTACCTCCTTCAGAGCCACCCACACGGTGTACAGGGCCACCAGCTTGAAGACGTGCAGCTCCAGGAGACGCCGCACCAACACCTGCACTCGGGTGAGGACGTCCGAGAAGCCGGAGGCCAGGTCCAGCAGCCGTTCAGCCACCAGGCCCCACTTGCTGGCTGCAGCCAAGGGGGAGGCGCCGTGAGGAAGAGGGCTCACAGGGGTCGGGGCAGAGGGACCTCACAGCTGCCCGTGGGACTCACCTTCCGGGCCCTGCACGGCGGGGCAGGGGCCAGCCATGCTCATCGGCCCCTCCTCCCCGGGCTCCTCCTGCTCCTCCTGCAGCAGCAGTGGGGTCCCACTGACCGCGTCCTGCCTGCGGGGCCCAGAGCATCACTTCCGACCCCAGCTCCCGGGGTCCGCCCCACCGGCCCCTCCCATTCCTGCCCTCCCCAGGGCTGCGGGAAGAAAGCCCCACCCACAGCCCCCGCCGAGGTTTTCTGTCACTCTGACCTGCCAGGTCCGCCCGCGGCATTTGAAGGGGGCAGCTGAGGCCTTGGCTGGGCTCCAGGCCCTCCTGTGCGAACCCACCCGCCTCCTTCCCTTCCCCCACGTGTGCCAGTGGGGTGGGGCATGCTGCAGGGCCCCCCCCCCCCGGCCCCGCCATGGGCCTGGACGGCGGTCTGCACCCCCAGGGGCCGCAGACATGCGGGGCCGGCCACGGACCTGTGGGCCCAGCGCGGGAGGCGGGCACCGGGTGGGGGCACGTGCTCCAGGTCGGTAAGCTGCATGAAGGGCTGGTGGAAATAGTGCAGCTGCAGGATGCAGGCCAGCAGGAAGAAGCCGGGGACCAGGATGCTGGAGAACAGCTCTGACACGCTGAACTGCTCCAGACCCAGGTCCCCCAGCCTGGGGGGGGCGGGGGGAGGTGTCAGACCCACAGCCAGGCGGCCGGCGGGGAGTGGGAAGGCCCCCATGCCCAGCCCGGCCCCCACTCACTGCTCGTCCGTGAGGCCTGTCAGGTTGCGCCAGTACATGGGGAAGTCCTGGAACTGGAAGGTGTAGACGGCGATGAGCACCAGCATGGTGTAGGCCACCACCAGCCACCAGAAGAGCTTGAGCAGCTTCCTCCACAGGCTGTAGTAGACCTGGTGGGCGCAGGTGCGGCAGTGAGGCCCGGCCCCGGCGGGGGCCGCCCGTGTCCCCCGCCGCTGCCGCCGCCGCCGCCCAGGTACCTGGAAGAGGGTGAGGCACAGCAGGAAAAGCAGCATGTACACGATCTTGTACACAACCAGGCGGCCGGCGAAGCTGACCACAATGAACATGCCGGCGCACACGTAGATCCAGTACTTGGCGTACAGGCCGCTGACCAGCTGCCCCAGGCTCTGCAGCAGCGTCCGCACCCGCGGCGGCTCTGCGGGTCGAGCGGGGATCAGCGCGGGCGTGGGTTCGGGCCGGGCGGGGACTGCCCCCCCCCCGCCCCGTCCCGGGCCTCACCTGTGTCGGCCACGGTGACCTCCGTTGGCGCGGCAGGGGTCTTCGCCTTCAGCAGCTTCTCCTTGACGAACCGGCGCAGCAGGAGCCAGAAGGTCAGCATGTACAGCAACTGGGGCGAGCGGGCGCAGCGTCACCCCCCCAAAGCCAGGGCCCGGTGCCAGTCTCCCTGCGGGCCCAAACGCACCCTCCCACGCCCGCCACGCAGAGCCCAGACATCCAGGTACATGGTGCTCTGCCCACAGCAGCCTCACACAGGGACACGAAGCTCCCAAGATGCAGGCGCAGTGGGGGGCACTGTGGAAGCCGCATTAGGGATGCAGGGACACCCCCCGAGGACACAAGGTCATCACTCATTCACTCAACAAACATCGACGCAGCCGCTGCTCCGGACAGGCTACAGGGGACCCCTCAGGGACAGCCGGACATGGCCCTGCCCTCCCAGAGGTCCCACATCCACGGGGGAGCCGGACAGCGAGCAGACGGCACCGTCATGGAAGCTCACAGGTGCCCCAGACACTCACCATGTGAAGGGGGACACGGGGGGGACACGGGGGGGGACACTCACCATGGCGCCAAGGTCCAGGCAAGGGTAGCGAGTGTGCTCCAGCCCCAGCTGACGCAGGCTCATAGGGCCCAGGGTGGTGGGCAGCTCGGGACGCAGGTCCATGGCCCACACGTAGCGCAGGCCACACAGCGCCAGCCCGTAGAGCAGGATGAAGGGCGAGCAGAGCATGGCCATCTGGTGGCGGCTGCGCACGGTCCAGATAAGGCAGGCCCAGAGCAGCAGTACGAAGGTCAGCCAGCTGTGGTAGGTGATGCTCCACACCTGGTCAGCCAAGGCTGGTGGGCAGGGCTGCAGGGCGCACCCGGCCCTGCTCCCTGGCCCTGCTCCCCTGCACCCTGCTCCCCAGCCCTGCTCCCCTGGCCCTGCCCGGAGACAAGGAGGCCAACGCACCTCCTCAGACTGGAGCCCGGTGGCACAGGATGCAGGCTCACATGGGCACCCACCTGCTCCATGTATGCAAGCGCACACACACGCTGCGCAGCTTGCAGCCCAACAGGACACAGCCCCGTTTCTGGCCACAAGGCACCAGGCTCTGCAAGACGTGGGCCACCATCCACCTCCCAGAACGTCCCAAGGGAAGCAGCAGGAAAGGCCCACCTGGAGGGCCGCCCAGGCCGGCTGCCCCTTACCATCATGGCAATGAGGGCACACACGTAGCTCTGATCCATGATGAGATGACCCAGACTGTGTAGTGGAGACGGCTCTTCAGGCTCAGCCAGCCTGGGGCGCACTGAGGGGGGAGGGGACAGAGGTCACCGGGGAGCCGGACCCTTGCTGGGGAAGCTCCAGCATCAACAGAGGTAGGCTCTCGCCCACACCAAACTCAGGCAGGGGGGAGGAGGGGGCACTAGGGGCAGAAGATGCCGGCAAAGGGCCCGGCTCCCATCTGACGCTGCTCCCTGACCGGTCCTGGTCCCATTCACCAGCTTGGTTTCCAAGACCGTGAAGGGACAGGTTGGACAAGATGACCCCGACCCCTTCCAGCTCTGTGCACGGCCAAGTCCCCAGGGCGCCAACGACTCCACCTCCGGCTTCATGCAAAATGGAGATCAAGCCTTAAGGGAAAGGGAGAAGTGCCCAGGGAAATACCCCGCCTTCCCCATGGGGCCACTGTGGACGCACAGGCCCCGTGAAGACAGCTGGCAGTCCAGGGCCCCGGGCCAGCCCGAAAGGTAGCAGTCCAGTCCTCTGGGAACTGGAAGGCAGGTGGGGAGGGCGTGGGAGAGCTGGAGCCTGCAGCAAGGTCTCGGGCGGGCGGCCCGACCCCATGTCCAGGCCCTGGGTGGGCCCCAGATGGCACAGCTAGAGAGGTCCGCAGAGCAAGGGCACCCCGGCCACCAGGGGGCAGCACCAGTGCGCCTGCAGAAGGCGGTGTCCCTGGGCAGCCTGGGGCATAGTGCACTCACGGGGGCGCTGCTGGACGGGGCTGTGGCCAGTCAGGTCATGCACGGTGCAGCTGTCAGTCTCCCAGTCAGACCCCGTGGTTGTGGGCAGCATGCACTGCGGAGACGAGCCAAGACCCCGTGAGCCAAGCCCTCGGGCAGGCAGGCTCCAGCACCACAGCTCAGCCCCCACTCCTCACCTGGGCAGCCCCCTCCTCCTCGGTGGCTGCAGCCCTGGCCTGCCCCTGGGGCCACTGGTCCACCTGGGTCAGCTCCACCTCCTGCTCCTCATCACTCCCGGCTGCCTCCTTCCTCTGCAGAGACCAGGGCGGAGCTCAGCGCCCACCCCCAACGAGGTGCGCAGGGGTGGAAGGCCATCAGAGGCCACTGGCCCCGGGCCTCACCTGGTTCAAGGGCCGGTGTGTGCGGAGCTTGAGGAGTGAGGTCACGGTATAGTAGAGAAGCAGCAGGACTCCGGGGCTCACGTAGATGGGCCAGTCGTGGCTCGTATCGAGGACCAGCACGTTGGGGCTGGAGCAGTTGCTCTGGGCCACTAAGGCCTTGAGACCGAACACCCTGCCCAGAGAAGGCGAGCCACTGACCGCTGGTCGAGGAGGACCCGGGGACCAGGCAGCCAGGGCCCGGCGAGGGGGAGGGACGGGGCCTGTGCAGGTGAGCCTCACCTGGCCCAGATGCCGGACGGTGGGAGCATGGCCTGGGCGAAGGGCGTCTGGTAGCAGTAGATGCAGATGAGGTGGCTGGCGCCGAAGCAGCCCACCATGACGCAGAGTGTGCTGAAGCCCAGGGGGCTGATGGGAAAGTGGCACGCCCACCAGGTGCAGGTGGCCAGGAAGATCAGGAAGTAGACGCTGGAAAAGGCGGAGGGGTGGGCGATGCCTGCAGGACGGGGCAGAGACAGCGGGGTCACGCCTGGCCGGGCCATGAGACCATGGTCTCAGTGGCCAGTGGGGAGCTGGGCAGGCTGCTGAGACCCTCCCCAGTGGCAGTCGGTGCTGGGGTCCCTGCTCCTTTTGCCCAGTGGGTACCTGCCAGCGCGAGCAGCACGATGGCCAGGGTCCGCCCCGCAGCCACCAGCAGCCAGTGCGCTGTGATCTGGAACCGGGTGGCCAGCTGCAACCTCCGCGTGGGGGCCAGCACAGGGGTTCCCTGAGGCCCCCCTGGGGAGCCGGTGTCCACTTCCCTGTCATCATCGTCCTGCCAAGGTCATGAGGAGGGGCAGAGGTCAGGGGCATGGCACTCAGGCCACTCAGGGAGGGAGGGGACAGGCTGCTGGCCAAGCATGGACCCAGAGGTCTGCCCACCAGGCCCTCCCGGAGACCACCCGCCCCCACCCCCAGACACGCTCCCACCAGGCCTGGTACGCATGACAACCGACCCCTGCAGGCCGGCCTCAGACCATTCCAGAACACTACAAGTCTCTTTTTTATCTCCTTCTCTAGCCTGGGGGCCCCCAAAGGCCAGGCAGCCCCCACAGATTCCGGCACGCATCCTTGAAACCCCTGGCTCCTGAGAGGCCCCGAATGGGGATTTTTAGGAAAAAGGTAGCTGTGCGCACATGGTGTCCCCACATGCCACAGTTTGGGGAGCACCGTCCGGCCCCTGCCCCTCCGTCCCAGGGCCGAAGCAGCGCTTTCCTCTTACGTAGAGGGATGGGGGTGCACAGGAGACCCCGAGTCCACCCACTGTGACCCTGCTCCCTTTCTGCCGCCCGTGGGGCACCTGGACAGCAAGGGGCGGCGGCCTGCAGGCCTCACAGAGGTCAGGGCTCAAGGTTTCCCAGAAGGAAGCCGTTTCCCGGGTGCCTAGCCCCGCTCCCCCACCGCATTCCCACCTGTGAAATGGGCGCATGCCTGTGCCTTTCCCTAAGGGTGGCACTCAGCGGCCAGGCTAAGCACACAGGAGCCAGGCGACCTGCTCCCATCCCAGCTCGCGCCTCCCAGCTGAGCAGCCTTGTGCAAGTCACTTGACCTCTCTGTTTCCCCTCCGTCCGATGGAGGTGGGGACCAGATGGGTCCTGTCCTCCCAGAGCCTGAGGGTGGGGAGGCCACGGGGAGGAGCCCTTGAGCAGAGCCCGGAGGGAGGGGAAGGGGCAGGAGCCAGGCCTGAGCTCACCCCCGCCCACCACTGGCCGAGGCCCTGGGAACGCGTCTGAGCGCCTATGGAAAGTCCGCATCTGCGGGAAGAGCAGAGGCAGCTGCCGGGCGGGAAGACAGGTGCTTGGCCGCCTGCGGCGTCCAGCCGGCCAGTCCCAGCTACAGCCCCGGCTCAGCAGGGCCCTGGGGCCGCCACAGGGGCCTTGGCGGGAGCCTCCTCTCTCCTTCCCTCCCCGTCTCCCCTGCGGCCCGCCAGACCCCCTGAGAGCATGCATGTCCCCGCGTGTGACGTGAGTCAGGACGTGTATGCACAATTGCGTGCGCACACCGTCCCGTGGGTGGCGTCGTGTGTACGTGCACGTAGGTCTGGGCTTGGAAACTCGCCCCTGTGAGGGGCCCCCCCACCTCGCTCCGAGGTCGTCTACACCAGCCACCCCGGCTCAGCACAGGCTCTCATTAGCCACTGAGGACATGGAGATGGGGTGACCCATCCCAGTCGCGGGGCAGACCCGGTTCCAGGCAGCCCTGGGCTGTGAGCAGTGCTGGCCCCCCCCCCCCGTCCTATCCCGGATCTCGGGATCGAGTCCAGCCCCTTCGCGGCAGAGCTGTTCCGGGAGGCCTGGCTCCACTAACAAGGAATCCAGAGGCAGCCCTGGCCCCCCCAGGGGCCCATATACCCGCCCGGGGGATGGCGCCCCAAGGCCGGCAACAGGGTGGTCCCAAGCCCCCCGAGGGCCTGGAACAACAACCTGAGCTCTAGGCTCCCGTCTCCTCTCTGAAAGTGGGGTGCCAGCCTTGTCCGTGAGCTGGGGACAGGGGCAGGCGGGACAGCAGGTGGGGTCAGGGGCAGCCTGAGTCACCCCCAACCTGGAGGGGGCTCCCTGACAGCCAGCAGCTCACTCCCTGCAGGGCTGATTCCCTACTGCCCTGTGTGGCCTGGGAGGACCTCCTCCAGGAACAGTTTCTGAAGCACAGACACGACCTGGAGCCCTCCAAGTCCCCCCCAGATACAGCCCTGCTAGGACTAGGTCTGAAAGGCACACAGGCAGTACTGCTCGGGGCGCCCCGCATCCTGGGGAGGGAGGCACACAGCTTCTCCCACCTCTGATGCCTCATCTCTTCACAACGAGCACATACTGACTCTTAAAACTGAAAAGTCCACATTTGCGTAAAAGAAAAAGTGAAATCGTCCTCAGATGGGCACCGAGCTTGGGAACACCCCTCCTCCAGCACACATGCACCCCGTCTTCCTACAGCCCTCACCAGCTCCTGGGCACGCTGGCTTGGCTGGGCGTCCTGGGCGAGGCGCCCACACAGGCCGAGGCACACAGAGGAGACCACCAGGACACCAAGGTCGGGGGCCACCAGCCGGATGGCATTGGGGATGTCCTTCAGGTCCAGCCTGTGAAGGGCAGGGAGAGCCCACTGGTGGGTCGGGGAGGGCAGGTGCCAGGCAGGGAAGGCAGAGGATGGGGGACCCCAGGGGAGGCAGGGAGCGTGCTTACCTCGTGACCCCCACGTGCCGGGAGAGGATCTCCCAGGGGCTGCCTGCGGAGAGAGGCGCAGGGGACTGGGTCAGGCAGCAAGCACCAAGCACCCCTACTCCTTGCTGCCAGGAGGCCCGTGGGAGCCCCGCGGTCGCAGAACGTGGCTGGTGTCAGGGATGCTTGCAGAAGGCTGCCTTTATTAGTAGGGAAACGAAGGCCCAGCCAGGGAGAGCCAAGTGGATCGAAAGCCCGTGCATTATGTCTGGCACAACGGGGACTCCCGGCCCCGACCCATGGGCGCCGGAAGGGGGAAGCCCGTGTCAGAAGACACCAGGGCAAGGGCACCCACGAGGCGCCTGGCTTCTCCCCGTGGCCCAGTTTCTAAACTGCAGGATGGGCAGCATCAACATGGAACGAAAGCGGGAGCCCGGGCAGGGTGGGGGAGTGATGCCAGGCAGGACCTAGGCTGTGTGGGGGCTGGGCATCCAGTGCTCCCACATCTGGAGCCCAGGGGGCTGATGTCGATCCTGTCCGGAGCTGGGAGGGTGTGTGCCCGCTGCAGACAGTGTCCACAGGATGAAGGGCACTGGGTGGTAGGCCCGGCAGGGCACGGAAGGCCACTGGTACCCCAGTCCCTCCGCGCCAGAGGCAGATGCTGCTGGATTCCGGAGTGTGGAATGAGCCCTGGGCTGCTCCGGCCCAGCCCCTGGGAGCAGCTGACACTGGCACTAACCTGGGCCATGTAGGGTGAACATGAACTGGGGCCGGGCACTCAGGGCCCATACGAGGCACAGCCTGGGTGGGGCAGGCGGCCTTCCCAGGGCTGCTGTCCCCGCTCCGTGTCCCCGGGCTCCCGGCTAGCTCAGTAAGGCCACTAGCTCCCCCAAACCCATGGAAACTCACAGCTGGGCCCCAGAAGCTGGTCCAGGCGGGGCATGGTGTACAGGCATATCTGGAAGGCCAGGTGAGCTGCCAGGAAGAGGAGGCTGAAAACCAGCAGGGCCCGGAGGAGGCGACGAGTGTGGCCTGCGGGCAGAGTGGGCAGGGCTGAGGATGGCATGGGGCCCTTGTTTCAACATCCCGGGGCGCCCAAACCCCAGCAGTCCCACCTGTGGGGGAGAAACCGAGTTTAGGGGCTGGGCCTGGGGGACCCCAAGCACAGGCAGGGGTGGTCCCAGACAAGGGCCCTGTGTGCCTTGCAGCTGGTGGGATGTGTGGCTCAGCGCCGGGCAGGGAGGCCGTGGCTGCAGGGAGCAGTCTGCGCACGCAGCCAGCGCTCGGGGAAGACCCATGGAGTCCTGGCGCCAACCCTGCTCTGCGCGGCGGGCAGCTTGGGCTCCGTGCAGGGAGCTGAGACTGATTCCCACACTTTGAGCTCCGAACCCTGGCTTCCTCCTCTAGCGCCTTCCAGCAGGAGCCCCAGATCCTCACTGTGCCGCCGGCTCACTGGCTGGGGCTCGGGGACAGAGGTGTCGCACTTTCTCCGGCCCGAGGCTGGTGGGCTCAGGGTCCCGGCTCCGTGTGTGCCCCTCCCCCAGGGGTGCCCAGCAGGTGAGACCCCTGGAGTGCTGGCCCTCCTTCACCCCCCGCCCCACCTGACTTTGCAGAAGGAAGCCAGGCTCAGAGAGGGCAAGGGACTCCCAGGGGCAGCCCAGTCAGGCCTCGGACGTCCTCACCGACACTCATTTCTAGGTCCCTCCCGGCCTCTGACCCTCGGGGGCAGGGGTGAGTGAAGGGGAGAGCAGGGTGGGGCTGGTGGAACACTGGGAAGGACGGATGGAAAATGAACGGAATGTCTGGCCCTCGGCCCCGGCTGAGCCAACTCTGCTCGCAGCACCAGGCCAAGAGCAGGGAGAGGCCAAGGGCCTCCCAGCAGGAGGAGGAGCGGGCCACCTGTGGAGAGCAGGGCAGGGCTCCTGGAGGCTCCCTGGCCAGGCTGACCGCCCCTGCCTGCTCAGCTGTGCAGCCCGCTCCTGCAGACCCGGGAAGTGCCAACAGGAGGGAGCGTAGCGGGCGCAGACGTGCCCCTGCCCACCCCCGCTACCGCACCCTGCTCTGAGCCACGGACACCCGAGGTCGGCCTCGTGGACTACCGGGGCCGAGGCCTCAAGTGCCAGGCTGCTGGGCCCCTCAGCAGGTGCCCCACTGGCTCCTATCGACACCATGTGAGAGAGTGTCAGACGTCACCACTTCTACCTCCCCCCGCTCCTCGTCACCAGCTCCCGTCTTGGGTGGCCAGCCAGTGTCCTGGATCACGAGCCGCCGCCAAGCCAAAGGGGCCGCATGGCTTCAGCTCCTCGCCAGGCAGGGGCTGGACGCGCGCGACGCGAGAGGTGGGGGGTGGGGGTCGGAATCTCTGCCCGAGCAGCAGGGGCAGGAGGCTGGCCGGAGCTGGCCTGCTGACCCCACTACGACACTGGGTGCCATCCCACGCTGCCCACCTGAGCTTCGGTGTGGTCTCAGGGAGGCTGGCCGTCCCCTTGGAGAGCCACTCGGGAGCGGTGGGACAGCAGGGAGGGCGGCCAGAGGGCAGGGGGGTGGGGGTCAGGCAGGGGAGGGGCTCCTGCATCCGCCCAGGAGGGACGGGCTCTCACAACACTGCTGGAAATGTCCCTGTGGAGTAGGAGGTCTGCTGGGGGTGCCGGCTGCCCGCTGCCCACTTGTGGGCGCCGCAGTGGGGGGGGTACGCAGAAACCACTCCTCCAGTAGGAGCAGGGATGGGGCTCAGGCTCTCAGGGGAACAGGAAGTGAGGATGGCAGGCTGTGGACCCCAGGAGCAGAGGAAGTGGGGCGTCCTCCCAGAGTGCATCAGTACGGAGGATCTGACCCGGAGCAGGAATCCTGGGTTGGAACCCCCCAAAACCGCCCTACAGTGCCCTCTCAGAGGGGACCCCTGTTCCCAGCCACAGCTCACGGACCGCCATCCTTCCTACGCTACCCCCCTCCGCGACCGCCCACCCGGCGAACTGCCGCCCCCACAGGCCTCGCTCCAGCCAGCTGTCTGCAGACCTCACCCCAACAGGAGCCTGGCTCCCAGGGGTGCGTGAGGGCCTCAGTGGGAAGTGCTCTGAGACGCTGGGGAAGGGGGGCCCGCGGTCGCAGCAAGCCGGCTCCGGGGGGGACCCACACCCACCCTCCAACACACACCAGGACCCTCACCGGGCCCACCTGCTGGCAGAGCAAACCAGACGGCCCCCCCACCGGGCCCCCAGGGAGCGCTGCAGCAAGGAGCACCTGGGGGGCCAGGAAGCCTGGAGGCGGGGGTTTTAAGGCAGGGACGGGGTCTTGAGGCCCTATGTGTTAAGGGGGCGGCCAGTACTGACCCCTGCTTGCAGCTTCTGCTGCAGCCCTGCCCCCACAGAGCGCTCACTCCGGGCACAGGGGCAGAGGACAGAGCTGGAGCCACCCCGAGGTGACCAAAGCCACCTCGGGCACAGGGAGCTGCATTAAGAGCGGACGCCCCCGTGGGGACGGGGCCAGGGGTCAGCACCCGTCAGACCTCCCACCAGATGCCGGCGCTGAAGCCCGGCCTCCACACGTCCTACACTTGAGGCCAGGCTCCCGAGCACGAGCAGGCCTCCCATTTTCCCCTCTCCCACCCGGAAAAACCAGGCAGCCTCCCTGTTCCTGAAGGGCCTCTGAGGGTGGACAGACAGAGGTCAGGCAGGGAAGTCTTCCCAGGGCTCCCTTACTCCTCCCCACCTGGCCCCTCCTGCTCTGGCCAGGGCCCGCGGGGGCTGGGAACGGAGCACACCGAGGGAGGGGGAGGGAGGGAGTGGGCCTGCCACTTGAGCTGGGAATCCTGGACAGCTGCGGCAAGCTGGCCTGGGTGAGGGGCTGGCCTGGGGCCCAGCAGCTCTCAGCCCTGCCCCTGTGCTGCCCCCCCAGAGCCTTCACGGCCCTGTGCTCCCAGATTCCACCTGCAAGACCAGCACCCCAGCGAGGAGAGAGCCTGATGGGGGCCAGAGCCAGAGGGACGAGGGTCACCGCGGGGCCCCGACCGTGGACATGACCGGGGGCCCAGAGCCAGAGGGACGAGGGTCACCGCGGGGCCCCGAGAGCCCGAGGGACGAGGGTCACCACAGAGCCCTGACCATGGACATGGCCGGGGGGCCAGAGCCAGAGGGACGAGGGTCACCGCGGGGCCCCGACCGTGGACATCACCGGGGGCCCAGAGCCAGAGGGACGAGGGTCACCGCGGGGCCCCGACCGTGGACATGACCGGGGGCCCAGAGCCAGAGGGACGAGGGTCACCGCGGGGCCCCGACCATGGACATGACCGGGGGCCCAGAGCCAGAGGGACGAGGGTCACCGCGGGGCCCTGACCGTGGACATGACCAGGGAGCCAGAACCAGAGGGACCAGGGGAGGTTCGACTGGCCGTTGCCGGCCTGGACGGTGGAGGGAGGGGCCGTGGGTGCCTGGAGAAGCCGGGAAAGATGAGGAAATGGATCCTCCCCTGGAGCCTCCAGAAGCTGTGAGCCTGGCCCAGGAGGCCTGGCCCGTCTTCCGACCTCCAGCCCAAGCGCAGGAGGGGATGCTGCAGGAGCGACGGGAGGCCCTGACGTCCCCAAGGCCTGGAAGCAGCCGACTTCTCCTGAAGGCAGTGTCTACGGGCCTGTCTCCCTCAGCGGGGCCTCAGCTGTCCTGGCCAACCTGGTCCTCGGCCCTGCTGGGCTCCTTTCTCACTCACCTCTGCCAGGTACTGCGGACAGCCGGCTTCTCTCGGGGACCCCTGTTTAAGCCTGGGTACCTCTCTTCCCCCTCAACACCGAGGGGGCCTTCCCACCTATGGAGGGCAGAGCAACCTTTGGGGACAAGCATTACCCTCCCCAAAAAGCTGGGGGGAAATGGACCCTGAAGCACATAGCAAGCAGGTGGCAGGAGCCCAGGGTGAAGGGTCCTTTCAGCAAGTCTGGGCCCCACCCGACCCTGTATCACCTGGCCACAGGTCTCCACCTGTTCACAGGGGGCCTGCCTGCACCACAAGGCACGGAGCAGGGCACAGCCCCGTCCCCTCCTGCCTGGGGCTCCTGAGACGGCCTCCCTGCTCCCAGCCCCTCTTGGATGGCTCCATGCCACAAGCTCACATTCAGACCCTCCTGGGGGTGCAGCCCCCCATGGGCTTCCCCACATCTGGCCACACAGGAGACTGAGACAGCACCCACCCACCAGGAGCTCAGGACCCAGACGGACACATGGCGTGCCCAGTGACCCGAATGACAAGGTGCTTGCAGATAAACTGAAACCCCACAGAGCTCAAGCAAACACGAAAGGAGCCTGACTTTACGGTGTGGAGGTCGGGGGAGGCGACGTGGCGGCCAAAAAAAGGGGTTGGCCAGAGCCTCGCCAGGCAGAGGGGTGGGGAACGGGAGAGGGAGTCCGCAGGGAGACGGGCCGCCCCACGGTGCCCGGGAAGCCCCAGGGACAAGGGGGAGCCATCCGATGACCCCCACTACCTTCAGCACGCCCCTATAACACACAGTCAGAAACGAAACGCTGAAACTAGCCCAGGGTCAGCAAGGGAAACATGAAACTTGAGGCCACCCGTCCTTCACCCCGGCCGCTAAACTGCCCAGGGCTTCTGCGGAGTGTGCACACGCCCCGCGTGCCTGGGCTGGTCCACGTGGACAAAGAGCTCCGAGGCCCCGAGTGCCCCCTCCCGCCAGGAGCCAGTGCCCAAGCCCTTACCTGGGATGCCGTGCCGACGGGGACCTGGGAACCAGGGCAGCAGCAGCAGGAACAGCAGGTAGACCAGAGAGAGGGCGTTGAAGCGGGACAGGCAGGCTGCAGGCAAGGAGAGGGCAGTTAGCATGGCCACACGGGGGGGGGGCAGGGCGCCCTGTGCCCCGGACATCACCCCCCAATCACCCCCAACATCGCCCCCGGACATCAAGCCCCCAGCATCACCCTCTGATCACCCCCGGCCATCAAGCCTCCAACATTGCCCCCCACATCGCCCCCCAGCATCACCCCCTGACATTAAGCCCCCAACACTGCCCCCAGCATCACACCCCTAGACATCACCCCCAGACATCAGGCCCTCAACATTACCCCCCAGCCCACTGGACACTCCCACTGCCAAGCATCACCCTAACCCCCTGCCCTTGGCATCGCCCCAGACACTGCCCCCCAAATATCACCGCGGCCATCACCCCCAGTCATCTCCTGCCCGGATGCCGCCTTCCCACAGGTGTGAGCAACCCCGCTAACATGTGACCTGTCACCTGTCACTCAGGATTCACACGCTGTCATACTGCGTCCAGACAAGCACAAGTCACCTGTCACCCAGAGCATGTCCACGGTCACACTTTGTCCTTCTACGAGTTCTGCTCCCAACATCACGTGATGCGATTTCTCCACGCACACGCACGGGCTCATCCTGTCCACCTGTGTCTCGGGCACATACCGCCACGAGTCCACCCGCCATGGGCAGACAGTGACAAGGTGGCTGACTTTCCTGACTTTTCCTCCTTTTTAAAAATGTTATAGTTTCAGGGGCGCCTGGGTGGCTCAGTTGGTGAAACGTCTGACTCTTGGTTTTGGCTCAGGTCAGGATCTCAGGGTCGTGAGATGGAGCCCCGCGTTGGGCTCCGCGTTCGGCGTGGAGTCTGCTTGGGACTCTCTCTCTCTCTCTCTCTCTCCCTCCACCCCTCCCGCTTGTGCTGTCTCTCCCTAAAAGAAAGAAATAAATCTTTAAAGAATAAAATACATGAAATAAAATCTTAGAGTTCCAGTTAACACACAACACAGCTGACTGCTTGAGTCAGCCACACGCCGGCCGCCCCGGCAGCCCCCCTCGGCCGTACCCTCTCCCTGAGCGGAGCCGTGGGGCTCGCGGCCATCAGCCTGGCTGACCTGAGAGGCCCACGTGCCCACAGCCTGTTCCCGCCTTTCCTCTGAACCCGCTGACACCTCTTCCAGCCGGCACAGCTGGACGCTCCCTTGACCAGGGGCAGCGGGAGGCCGGGGGCCTGGGGCTCATCTGGCCACAGGGAACGGATGGTTGCCAGGGGGTGGTGGGAGAGGTGGCCTGATGTGGGTCTCATCAGCAGGGAATCAGGGGCCCTCTCAGCCCTTCCTGGGGCTGCCCGAGAGGGGGGCTGGACTGCGGGCCCAGCAGCACGTGGGCACCGCTGGAGTGGCCCCCTGCTCCTCAGTAACCTCCAGGAACAAGGGGGCCCAGGCTGACCCCAGCCCTGGCCGCCCAGGCGGGCAGAGCAGAGCACTAAGGGACGGGAGCCTACCGCGATCCATCCCCTCCTGGACAACCAGCCTCGCGGTCTGCCGTCTGTGACTAAGCAGAGGGACCCCGCTCTCCTTTCCACTGAGAGGACAGGGTGTAAGCGGCCCTGCTCCCTGTGCCTCAGACGCCCCAGCGTGAGCCGCGACCCGCCAATGCCTTGGACGTGCAGGGGGCCGCTGCATGGACCGCCCGAGCCCAAACCAGCCGACCTGAACTCACGGGCTGGGGCCAGGCAGGGGGGTGCTAAAAACAAGCCAGGGGCTGGGCTGCCTCCTCTGGGCAAAGAACAGCTGGAATACCAGTGTCTCCTGGGGAGGATGCTGCCAGAGCCTTCCGAGCACAGGGTCCCCCCGTGGGTGTGGCCAGTCTGCACCGTCCCCACGGCCTCTAGCTCGTGACGGGAACTCTTCCACCCTCCTGTGTCAGGAGGGAGGTCTGGTTCTCCTGGGCCCTTGCTGTTTAGACAGGCCTTAGCTGGACTCCCCCGAACCCCCACCCCGGAGGCCGGGACAAAGAAGGGGCTCCTGCTCCCACAGAACCCAGGCTGCCGAGACCCCTGCCAACACCCCGCCGCATGCCCAGGCTCAGGGTCACCAGCAGGGCCGGGGGGCTGTGCACACCTCTGCCAGTCTGTCCCCCAGCCTCACCTTGCCCCGGGGCCCGAGGCGCTCACCCAGACCAGGAGCTGGGGTGTGGCAGAGAAGCTGAGAGGAGCGGACAGCAGGAAGAGCCGCCGCGAGGGAGGCAGACCCCTGACCTCGCAGCCGCGTGGGCACCTTGCCCCAGGTCTCAGTTCCCGCATCTGTACAATGGAGTTCACACAACCTGCCCGAAGGGTCGTCTGGAGAGTTAGACTGGATCTAGGACTAGGGGCAGAGCCCGGGGCTGGGGCATGGGACTCCAGTCCCTTCCCACCAAGCCCGGACCGAGGCCCTCCTGTCATCCCCACAACGAGGAAACCCCGACGAGCCCAGGTTGGCTCCAGGTCACCCTGCAGCACTCCCACCCCTGGGAGCCGCCCCTGACGTCAGGGCGCCTCCTCCTTCCATTACACGTACTGGCGACAGCAACCGGCTCAACCAGAAATATGAAGTTTTGCAGCAACTGCGCATTTTCCTTTTAAAAAAAATCTATCTGATCTGGCCCAAGAGGCAAGCGGGAAATGCATTTACGGCAAAGGCTTCTAAAGCTTGTCTTCGCCTTCCAGCACCACACTTTCCAGCCCCCGGTTCTGCTTCCCCCCCCGCCACAATGCCAGCCCTGGCCCATCCCCAGAGAGGGTGGCACCCCCCACCCCCTACCAGCCAGGCGACAACTGTCCTCCCGATGGCCCAGCTAGCCAGCCAGCCATGCATCGGTCCGTCCAGCCGTCCTTCATCCACCCACCACCTAAGCAACCTTCTCCTGAGGACGTACTCGCAGGCCCTGCCCTGAGACACTCACGCTCTGACCCGCCAGGGCCACCTGACACTCCGGGAGCACCTACCCGGGGCGGGGAGTGGGGGAGAGCATCCACGAACAGGGAGTACCCACGTGCCAGGGGGTAGTACCCGCAAGCTGGGAGGGAGCACCTACGAGCAGGGAGGGAGAACCTGCATGCTGGGGGAAGCACCCGCAAGCAGGGAGGGAGCACCCGCGGGCCAGGAGGAAGCACCCGTGAGCCAGGGGGGAGCACACCGTGTGCCAGGGGGAGGACTATGTGTGCCGAGGGGAGCATCTGCAAGCAGGGAGGGGGCACCACCGGGAGGGAGAACCCGCGTGCCAGGGGGAAGCGCCCACAAGCTGGGAGGGATCACCCGTGGAGCAGGGAGGGAGAACCCGCGGGCGGGGAGGAAGCACTCGCGAGCAGGGAGGGAGCACCCGCGAGCCAGGGGAGGGCACACTGCGTGCCGGGGGGAGCACCTACGAGCAGGGCGGGAGTACCTGCGAGTCGGGGGGAGCACGCCGCGTGCCTGGGGGAGCACCCGCAAGCCAGGAGAAAGAACTCCGCGCACCAGGGGGAGCACCCATGCGCCAGGAGGGCGTCTGCTGTGCAGGCACCAGGGAGGTTCTCAGAGGCAGAGGCACAGCTTGGAGGGGGGGACAGGATGTGCTTTTACATTCCCTGGACCTGGCCTGTGAGCAGCCCTGAGGCTGGGACGGGGAAGGTGAGCGTAGTGCCTCACTTTAGGAAGACAGAAAGTTCTGAGGATGTGTGGTGGGGTCAGTTGAACAATACTGAGAAAGCACTTAATGCCACTGAACTGCACACTTAAAAATGGTTAAAATAGGGCGCCTGGGTGGCTCAGTCGTTAAGCGTCTGCCTTTAGCTCAGGTCATGATCCCAGGGTCCTGGGATCGAGCCCCGCATCGGGATCCTTGCTTGGCGGGCAGCCTGCTTCTCCCTCTCCCTCTGCCCCTCCCTCTGTTCATGCTCTCTCTCTTAAATAAAACCTTAAAAAATGGTTAAGATAATCAATTTTATGTTCAGTGTCTTTTTCTTTCTCCTTCTTTTTTTTTTAAGTGCTCTCTACACCCAAAGTGGGGCCTGAACTCACAAAACCCCGAGATCAAGAGTCACATGCTTGGGGCGCCTGGCTGACTCAGTGGGAAGAGCGTGCGACTCTTGATCTCAGGGTCGTGAGTTCAGGTCCCACAACGGGTGTAGAGATTACTTAAGAATAAGTAAATAAAATTTAAAAATAAAAAAGAGTTGCGGGGCGCCTGGGTGGCTCAGTCGTTAAGCGTCTGTCTTCGGCTCAGGTCATGGTCCCAGGGTCCTGGGATCAAGCCCCGCATCGGGCTCCCTGCTCCGCAGGAAGCCTGCTTCTCCCTCTCCCACTCCCCCTGCTTGTGTTCCCTCTCTCGCTGTGTCTTTCTCTGTCAAAAAAAAAAAAAAAAAAAAACCTTAAAAAAAAAAAAAAAAAAAAGAGTTGCATGTCCTACCCACTGAGCCAGCCAGGAGCCCCTACATTGTGTCTTTTACCAAAATAAACAAACAACCATGTGCTGAGTTCAGCGAGGGGTGTCAGAAACTCAAATCCAAGGGACAGGGGGCCGGCCCGAGGCCCATCTGCTGTTGGTGGAGTCAGCACCCCAGGCTGAGCAGGACAGACAGAATTTCTCAGAAGCTTATCTGCCCAAAGCAGGAAGTTGGAGATGAGGAGTCGGGGAGAGCAGGGTCAGAGGGCTGCCAGGTGACCCCTACCCTGCAGCCCGTGAGCCCCTCACACCTTCCTTTGCTCATGCACCCAACACACGCCGACCTGGCCGGCTCCGCAGACGGGGACACAGCAAGAATGGGAGGGAGGGGCCGGGTGTGCAGTGGAGGTGGGGTCTCCAGCTCTCCGAGGCACCGCGGGATGTTTGGGGGGCAGCACACCAGCTCGCACGGAGATAGTCTGTGAGCCGGCCCGACACCGTCCCCGACTCCTCTTCTGCCATCAGCCCAGCCAAGAGGCTGGGCACCAGGCAGGCGGGTGGCGCCCGGACAGCCCTGGACGCCGGCCCGGGGGACGTGAGCGGGGAACTGAGGCCCACTGGCTCGCAGCCCCGACAGGGCGGAAGCATGGCCGGGGAGACAGAAGGGGTGCGGGTCCCCTGCTATCAGGGACTGGGGACGGGGCCAGGGGGCAGAGGAACCTGGCTGCCAGAGCCCCTGCTCAAGATGCCCGTCTGTCCAGATGCAGAGGGGGAGGGTCTCTGAGGGGCACGGCTTCCGTGCGGTACAGGCAGGACTTGGGTCCGGGGCTCGCGGGACCAGCCATACAGCCATGGAGGCTGCCGGGCTGGGTGCCTGTGCCTGTAGGAGGTGACATTTCCTCTGGCCTTGAAGACCAGCTAAGACTGGGGGAAGGCCAGAGGAGGGGCTGCTCAGCCCCAGGCTAAAGCAGAGAAGGAAGAACTCAATGGAGGGGACCAGGGCCCTGCCCGGCAGCTCCCACCTCCCACCAGAGCTGCCCCGGCTGGCCTGTGACCTCATGGGGGAAATATGCCTTTTCCTGAGCCAGGAACAATAGGTTGGGGGTGGGGGGAGAGAGCCCTGCTGGGCAGGAAAGGGCTCCCTCCTGCCAGGCCCCCTCACCCAGAGCACATGCTTAACCCCTTACAGACCCTTGCACGGCTGCCAGAGCCCGGAAGGCCCACCCAGCAAGCAGCCCACCAGACCCTTGTCCCGTGGATGACGGAACTGCGGTCTGGACACGGGACACACTGACCCCTGGCCCCGGCCAGTGCCAGGTCAGGAAGGGGAGGCAGAGGGCCAGCAAGTGTGTGGGACCCCACGGCCCCAACCCCCAGGAGACACCAGAGACCCTGCTCAGCACACAGTTCCTGGGACATGTCCCCTGAGGCTGGCCTGTGTGTCAGGTGGGCCCAGACTGTCCCCACCCCGTCCCTCCTGTGGGAGTCTGAGCTCTGAGCCTCAGTTTCCCCATCTACAAAGCAGGGTGAACAAAGCACGCAGGAAGGGCTGTGGGGGTGATGCGCGGGCCCTTCACAGGCCGGCAGGGTCCCCAGTGACGGGGGTGGGTGTCTCCAGGAAACACACGTGGCCGCGGAGCATGATGCCACGCTGCCTGCGGGGTGCACAGGCCGGCGCCACCCACACAGCAGAGGCGGTGCGGAATGGCGGAGGCCGGCGTGGCTCGGGGACCCTGGGGGCTCACGGGGGCTCCGGCTGACGTGGGGCAGAGGCTCTGACGTCACGCTGTGGCCCCTATCAGCATGAGAAGCTGAAAGGACAGTGTCCCTGGGAGAGGCCAGAGTCTGAAATCGGGTGGTTCTGTCCCTGCTCTGCCTGCTTCCTCAGCTGGTGACGGGGACCCCAAAGGCACAGGAACTGCGGCACATAGCACGGGGCAGGAGCGGGCGACTGTGGGCCGGCCCTCGGGCACCCCGAACACCACACCCACGCCACTGCCCGCCGTCCGCGCACAGAAGGATTTCTCTTGTGTAAAACAAAACAGAAACAGGATTCGTGCCCCTAAGTGTACAAGAAGTTCCAGAAGGGTTTCTCCCCAGTCACTGTCACTGTCCACTGTGCGCGAGGGTCCCTGCCTCTGTCTGTAAGGCCCCCTCTCTCGGCAGGAGAACGTTCTCATGTGTCCTGGACTTGTTCACAAGTGAACTGGCCCCACAGACGGCAGACTGGGAGGAACACAGCACAGAAGGGCTCAGATACGTGGCCCGGGCTGTCCTTCCCCACGGGGCCTGCGGGCTGGGGGGCGGGAGTCACCTGAGTCCCCAGGGCAACGGCAGGACTAGATTCAGCCTCTCCTGACCCGGGCGGGTACCTTTCAGGCCTGCCTTCTGCTGCCAGCCAGGCAAAGCCCTGGGGAGGCCAGGTGGGGCCCAAGGACCGGAGGTCAGAGTCCCAGGTAGCAGCTGCCAGGGTGGGGTGGGGTCCTGCTCCGAGCCCGCCCGCTGTCTCCCGGGAGTGTGCTCACTCGGCCTTACCTGGCTTGGAGGAGAAACCCATAAACACTCCCCTGCTAGCTTCTGCGGGGGCGGGGGGGGGGAACAGACGTGGCAGAGGGGGCTGTCCCTTGCCCTCCACCGGAGCTGCCCAGGCGGCGGGGCCTTCTGCCCCCACAGCACTCGGGAGGCCACACCGGCCATGCTTCCCCAGCGGGACATCAACACTGAGCCCAGACCCTGACCCAGAAGGGAGAAAGGGTTGGATTTATCCCACCTTCCTGGAAGAGGAAGACTGGGAGGTCAGCCTGGGCCCCGGGAGGGAGCTGCCCAACCCCAGCAACTCCTACCCTCTGAGGACAAGGACCGTGGTCACAGAAGGCGAGCGCAGCAGCAAGACAGGGCGTGGCAGGGCGCAGCGGAGCCCCGGGCGGGGCGGGGGGGGGGGTGCGGGCAGGAGCAGAAGGTAGAGGGTGGGAAGGGGGCCATACCCACCACACTGGCAGCCAGAGCAAGGCCCATGGGCCCTCCGGACCCCAGGCGCCTTGCCACCCTCCACTCACACAGGCCACCCCTGCTCTGCACCCCGTGAAGCGCTTTCCAGCGCGTGCCCCACAGGACGCCGTCCCACGGCCGCACCCTACCTGGAGAGCCAACCCTGGTGAGGGGCCTGCCCCTCCGTCCCCCAAGCAAGTCCAGCACTGGTCACACGCCGGCCTTGGGGGCTTCCTGCCCACAGCACGCCACACAGTCCTGGGGGGCGGGGGTGCAAGGCATGGCTGCAGGGAGAGAGCACCAGCTACACGGGAGGAACGGCCCAGAAGCCCTTCACAGTTCACAAAGCTCCAGAACTCAGACACTGGCCTGGAGTCAGCAGAGGATGGAGCCAGAGAACCCCGCATGGCCCCGTGGGGTGGGGGATGGGGGCCAGGACACAGCGAGGGCCCCGGCAGCCAATGCCAAGGACACCGTGTTACCGACTTGGAGCCCAGCCGAGAGCCCCAGGCCCTGCGCTGCTGGCCGAGGGTTGAGTGAGCACGGGGCCCAGACGCTTGGTTTTACGACTCACCTGACTTCCCAGGGCCGGGCGCAGACAGCCAGGCCCCCTCCCCATACCACCAGCCCCGTGAAGCTACGGTGAGTGCCTAGGCCCAAGGGGGGACTGGTGGCCACCGTGGGCCGGGGACAGAGGAGCCCCACAGGAGTGGACACCTGCCACAGACCTCCCACCCGGTCCTCAAGGGTCCGGGAGTCCCTGACCGCTTACAGCCCGGCCGCCCTTCCAGCCACACCTGGCCCCAGACGGCTTCCGAGAGGTGAGGAGGGCAGGGGCCGAGGGACGGTGCTGTCCTCTTGTCAGCGTGGGCGGGGGCGTGACCCACTGGGGCTCCAGGGGTCCGGGGACCCAACGGATGGCATGAGCCCACACCGCGCAGGACGGGCGCCCTGAAGCAGGGCGGTGGGTGAGGAGTGCAGGCAGGCTGACCTCCGGGGCCATCTGCAGACCTTTCAACCCCAAAGTGTCCTAAGTGGAAGCACCTCTGGGATCCCCCACTGCAGGCGCCGTCCTCTCTGCTGGCCAGGCAGAGGCCGGTGAGCACGAGAGGGCGCTGCATGTCCGGTGCACTTGCCCATGACTTTGCTCAGACAGCCCACGACTGCGAACACCCAGCACGGCCGCGAAGCCCGCTACCCAGGCACCAGCACCTCCCTCTGCATGAGACCTGGGCAGCTGCCCCCTGGGACCGGGACCCGCTGGGCTTCCCAGGGAAGCAGCGGGCACCAGGGCCGTTGCGTGTGTCGCGGGCTGTCTCCCGGAAGGGCCCACATGGGCAGCCACGAGAGACACTCTGTGCAGAGGACCAAGCCGGGCTCCAGGCTCGGGTGGGGCCCGCATTCCGCGGGGAGGGCCCTCCCAGGCTCTGACCTGCTGCAGCCCCAGGTAAACAAGTGGGGGGCGGAGTGCCCAGGAAGGGAGTTTCTGGACCAGGCCCCACAGGGCGCCCCTACCCACGTCTGCGAGGACACGGTTTGGCAACACCCCCCACCTTGGGCCACCTAGAGCTCGGGGCCCGGCCAAGGAAGGGGCCACAGTGAGTGGGGGAGCTCACATCATGACGTCCCCGAAGCCAGCAACCCGCAAAGGAACCCCCTAGCATGTTGGGGGATGGGGGGGTGGGGGGCTAGAGCCCTCAGGGTCTTCACCTGGGTCAGACCTGTCCAGGCCCTCACCAGATCACAGCTCTCCTGAGTCACTGCCATGGAGACTTCCCAGGGACAGGCCAGCCTCCTTCAACCACAAGGAAAGGGGTTCCCCGCAGAGCTGCACCCCCAGGCAGTGACGGGCACACCAGGTTGGCCAGGGGCCTTATGTGCCCGTGTGGAGACCTGGCCCTCACGGCTGTTCCCTGGACGACAACTCACGGCCCACAGGTCAGGTCACAGGACAGAGTCAGATCCAGACTGACAGACACCCCTCCCCGCCTCCACCGCCCACGCAGAGCCCCGGGCGGTGTCAGGACACACAGCCAGAGACAGGGGCGGGCAGCAGCTCAGGCCGGCGCGAGGTGACAGCTGGAGCCCCAGGTGAGGATGCAGGTGTGCCCGGTGCCCCATGCTCAGCGGGTGGCGACACCCTCCCGGGGTGAGACACCCACGTCCGTGGAAGACAGCAGGCAGAGGTGTGGGGGGGCCGGGCTGGCCGGGGGCCACAGCTCCTCTGTGACCCTCTGCCACGTCATCTAGAAAGTGAGGACAGCGGCTGTGGCCCTGCCCTCCCAGGCGACGGACGATCTAGGAGATGGACATGTATGGCAGGTCAGCTCTGGGGCAGGGCTTCAGGAGAAGAGGGGCGCCTGGGGGGCTCAGTCGGGTACGCGTCTGACTCTTGGTTTCGGCTCAGGTCACGATCTCGGAGTCGTGGGATCGAGCCCCAAGTCAGGCTCCCTGCTCAGCGCAGGGTCTGCTTGTCCCTCTCCCTGCCCCCCACTCGCGTGCCCTCTCTCTCTCAAAAATAAAAACACAAATTAAAATGAAATGAATAAATAAAACCGAAGCAGGTGTCGCCCAGGGCTGCTGCTGGCTCTCCGAGAGCGAGCGGTGAGGCTGGGGGTCTCAGATGAGCCCTCACGCCCTCGGGCTGACCTGAGAGCCCA